CGCCCACCTATTTTCAGTTCGTCTAAATTTAATGCGCATTTCACGATATTGCGTCAAAATAGTACCGGCACTATTGTTGTAACCTCAATAACTATAAAATTTATTATAAAACCAATTAAAAATCGATTTAAGGCGTCAACATTATTTGATGGAAAGATTTCATAACAAATAATATTTCCATGGAATGATTTAACAAGATTTTTCGGCATTTAAAGTGGAAAAACCATAAACAGGTTGTATATGACTTGTCCCTTTTAAGAATTCTTCTTTAATATACCTATTATAAAGGTTGTTGTAAGTATTGCTAAATAAACGTTAGTAAATCGTATATCTTCCCAATTTGTCGCGTCGAACATTATTTATCAACTTGCCGTTCCTTCTTAGAAAAAGATTGGCAACTGTATATATTATAGTAATTCTAAAAATTACTAAACAGATTTCAAAGACCATTTCGCAGAAAATAAGATTCTTCCATCAAAGAGTAATTTTATTAAGTTATCTTTTATTTTTTTACGTTTTACCCGAGCGAAGCTTTGGTTTCTATTTTTATATAATTTTATCCAAAACTATAATAAATCATGAGATATAATATAATATTATATTTTGTAGCAAAAACAAAAGATTCTTTCACAAGAACTCTTTGTTGACTTGCGTGTTTATAACAATTTCGTATAATTGTATGAGGTAACTTTGTGACAAAATCAAATCTATAATACTGCTTCCGCGGTTACCAAATATTGTGGTTAGATAAACCACAGGGTTTGTAAAACATTTAACTTTTAAGCATAAAATTATTGTAATAACGACAACAAAAACACAATTCAAACAAGAAAGTCTACTTTCAGTATGATACTAGTAACAATAGTTTGACTGTCTTAAAAGTCAAACTAATTTGGAGACAACTTTTGAGTATTGAGTATCTGAGCACCATAATTACGTAAAACCATTTGTAAGATTCTTTTATTACTAGCTGTCGCCCGCGACTCCGTTCGCGCTGAATTAAGAAGAAATAAAAAAATTACGACAATTAGTAACCTAAGTGTTCTTCCAGACTATGTTCTATATGTATGTCAAATTTCATCGAGATCCGTACAGCCGTTCTGGCGATATCTTCAATCAAACATACATCTTAACATTCGCCTTTATAATATTCGTAAGATATGATTTTTTTATAACAGAAGGGGGCAAACGAGCAGCGGGAACACCGAGGTGTTCAACGACGCCCATGGACATCGGAAATACCTGAGGAACCGCAGATGCCTTGCCGGCCTTTCAGATAGTGATAAGCTCGCTTCTTGAAGGACCCTAAGTCGTAGCGGTATTTTTTGATATTGTTTGGGTTATCATCAACCATGTGAAGCATTGAATTACAATGCGTCATATAATTAATAAAATTATAGAAATTAATAATTGTATAGCATCGTTTATACAAAATTAACAATACAATGAATGCAATTTACATAACGATTAGGTCATACTTTAGCCTACATTATTGTTATATTTTACCTATAAAAATAACCTTATATTGAATTTACTCACTGTGACAATACCAATAAACAATTGTTTAACGAACAAAAGTTAAATTAAAAATACACGTAGAATTAAATTTAAGTAGCAAAATAATTGCTTATTATTATTTTTCTTTGAAAATAATAAGTTTGCATAATTCGACTCTACTCTATTTTTCATAAATAGAGTCAATTTCTACAACGAAATCACCCATTGATAGACCATTGGTATTCAAAATTGTAGAAAACATTATCTCTACGATGTTTATAATAATTCATTCGATTGCTACTTATTGAAACGTAATGTTATGATTAACTACCGCTTCCATAGTAGGTCACTTTATTCGACATTAAGAAACTCATAAACTACTTTGAGTACGGCAGTAAATCTATTATTAAGAAGTTTCTTTATATTATTGTATATATATAACATTTCTAGTATACTTTCCATCATTACTACTAAATGACTGTATACAAAACTGGTTCCTTATCAATTTTACTTTCCTATGTTGTATTGCGGTTAGCAATCATTAAAATCGAATTATCTGTTATTGATTAAAACAATATTTTGAACTGTATTTACCTACTTTTAGCTATGATTTTGCCCAACTTTTTGAGGTAAATGATGTGATATTTTGCTAATCTTACTTCTTACTAATATTATAAATGCAATTGTTTAGATAGATGGACGGAGGGAGGGATGGATGTTTGTTCGGAGGTATCTCCGGAACGGTTTAACGGATCTTAATATAATTTGGCATAGATATAGAACATAGTCTGGAAGAACACATAAGCTAATCGGCAAGTATTTTTTTAATTCCGAGCGAACAGATTTGCGGGCGACAACTGTTACAAAATAAATTGAATAGTTGAGATGTGAAAAAGTATTTTATATTTTACGCATTTATAATATTATTGTTATTTTAAAATACATAAATATGTATCCACAACAAGGCGAGGAAGACAGAATGGCGTGGCGTGATGTAGCTACTTTTAAAGCAGTGTGCAATGCACGGTGAAACTGAAAGTAAAAGTGTGCCAAGAAAATGCGCTCGCATAACATTAATACTTTGCAGAACTTTGTCATACACTCGTACTTGTTGTTTAGTTCGTTCGTTATTATATTTGTATAACAATATATTTAGCTCTAAACGTATTAACCCTTATTGTGGCAAGAATTCTTTTTTGAAGAAAAGCTAAACAACGTCTAGAAATGTCATGTGTTTAATAAAACTGAGTTAAAAATTATTTTATAGTGATCGTAAATTTTCATAAAGTCATATGTATGGTATAATACAAAATGAACATAAGGGTTAACTGTTTAAATAAACATAGTATAAAGGTAAAATTGGACCATTGGTTTTATAATAGGTAAAGGTTGAATATCATAATCATCAGAAGCTTACTAGAGTCCCCACTGAAAGGCTCGGAGTCTACTAGTAACCTACCCTAAGCTAGGGGTGACTCGGTTGACCGGAAGGTCGACCATACACGCAATACAGAGGGTAAAGGTGATGGCGGAGGAGGCGGTGGCCCAGGGCCAGGTCGTCTTGGCGGTGTCCTTAGATATCGCCAACGCCTTTAACACCATCCCCTGGAGCTGTATCCTAGAGGCGCTTCGCTATCACCGAGTGCCGGAATATATTCGTCACGTAGTGGCCGACTATTTGTCTGGCAGAACAGTGTCGTTCAGATGCCGGGACGCACTACGTCATCACACAGTGACCTGCGGTGTTCCACAGGGCTCGGTCCTAGGACCACTCCTGTGGAACATCGGCTATGATTGGGTGCTGCGACAAGCGCTCCCCCGAGGGGTCGATTTAATATGTTATGCCGATGACACCCTTGTGATAGCGCGGGGGAGCACACACCGTGATTGTGCCCTGCTCGCGACAGCCGGAGTCGCCCAAGTTGTTGCTCGAATTCGTGCCTTGGGTCTCGAGGTGGCCCTTAACAAATCTGAGGGCCTATACTTTTATGGGCCCCGGAAGAGGCCACCTACGGGGAGCAGCATCATTGTCGGCGGTGTGGCCATCGACATCAAGCCCCAAATGAAATATTTGGGGCTCAACCTCGACGGTCGTTGGTCATTCGAGGGACATTTTAAGCTCCTGGTGCCTAAATTGTTGCGCGCTGCTGCCGCTTTGGGTAGTTTGCTGCCCAATCTAAACGGCCCGAAGTCGGCGTGCCGACGTCTGTATTTAGGCGTCGTCAAATCTATGGCGCTGTATGGGGCACCGGTGTGGAGCGGGGCACTGAATCGCCGAACCCTCGCCCTGTTGCGGCGTCCGCAAAGGGTGATGGCGATCAGGGTCATCCGTGGATACCGCACGGTATCCTACGAGGCGGCCTGTGTTTTGGCAAGCTCCTTACCATGGGCGTTAGAGGCGCAAATTCTTACGTCGGTCCACGAGTGGCGGTTGAATAAGACCGTGGAACTCGGCTCTCCTTCCTCACTCGAGGAGACTTCGAGGAAGAGGGCCGCTCAGCGGAGTTCTGCCATAGTGGAGTGGCAGCGCCAACTTCACGAACCGACGGCTGGTCACATGACCATCGAGGCGGTACGTCCTGTGCTGCAGCAGTGGTTGCACAGGAAACACGTGGAGCTCACCTTCCGATTGTCGCAGGTACTCTCGGGTCATGGTTGTTTCGGGAGTTACCTGCACCGGATCGGGAGGGAGCCAACTGCTGCGTGCAACCACTGTGACAACTGCCTAGAAGACAGTGCGCAGCACACGCTGGTGGAGTGCTCAGCATGGGCGGATGAACGCCGGGACCTAAGTGAAGTAGTGGGTGGCAACCTATCGCTGCCTGAAATAGTAAAATATATGGTGGAGTCGGAACGTGCGTGGGTTGCTATCCAAGTCTTTTGCGAAACTGTGATCGCCAGAAAAGAGGAGGCAGAGCGGGTTGGGGAGGCGAACTCCGCAAACCCTGTTCGGCAACGTCGCGTTGGGAGGAGAAAGCGAGCATATGCTCAAACCTTCCCCCCATAGTTTGTTTCGGGTGAGGGATTAGGGGAAGTCCCCACCCAGTAAGAGATAGAGAGGGCGCGCACGGGTTTCCGCGTGCAGAGTCTACACTAGTGTGGAGGCTCAAAACCAGTCACCGACCGGTGTGTGCGAAGAGTATTTCACATGTGCCCACACCCCGGTAAACAGTGAGACGAGGGAACCAGAGGGGGTTTAGTGGGTAGGCTCCTTGTCCCTTTAGGGATGTGGAGAGAGTCCCACATAACCGGAGTGGCTTTCCCCGAGGCACCCGGTATGCGTAACGCATTCCCCCTCTTAAAAAAAAAAAAAAAAAAAAAGGGGTGACTCGGTTATAGACAACCACGTTGGCCACGTGCGGGTTAGTTCACTATACATAACTATATATATTTGTAATTTCTTTATACCGTCAAATAGGTTGGTGTAGAGTAAAAGCATGAAAAGAAAGAAACAGAAACCGTATTCAAAATTGAATACAATTGTAATTTAAAAAACTAATTACCTTATCAAAAGCGATGACGGGTGTGGCAGAACCAATAGCGCCGTCTTTCTTCTTCTCGATCTTGTAGACGATGATATTGTTATCTCTGGAAGTGTGCACTATGAACGCTTTAGAGTCGGGGCTCCATGCGACGCGCGACGCGTAGTCGTATGGTATGTTCACACGCAGAGTCTTGTGGTCCTTCTGATTCAGATTCCTGATGTCCCATAGAATCACAGAGCCATCTAGTGGAACAAAAGAAGGTATTGAGCAATAAAAAATAGTTATTTAAAGGCATTTGGCCTACAAGAGGTCACAAATGACTCTCAAAAACATCTGAGTAATATGTAGAAAACCCATATATCTCCTTCTATTGATCATTCAGACATTTTAAAATTGTTTATAACAGTCGATGAGTAATCAGAATAAATTGCAAATAAATACATAGTTGCTCATGCCGGCTCTTCTTTATAAATGTTTGAAATGTGTTATGAGTTCAGTTTATAAATATGTCATGATGCAGTATTATAGAATACCAGTAAATATTACTGGTTTAAAGTAATCTTATTTAATATTTATTATTCTACTCGTATTAATGATTAACCGCGGATTTATGAGTCCAAAATCACCGTTTAAATATTTTGTTATCTCTGTCTTGTTAAAGATGAAAGACAATGATGACGATATCTTTAATACAAAGATTTTGGTGTCAGAAACCCACGAGAAAATAAATTGAATCAATAAATTCGCAGTATTTGCCCTTAGACTACAACTGAATTCAATATCAACGCTCGTAGAATTCATTAAAGACTAGCTTTTGCCCGTGACTCCGGTCACGCAGAATAAAAAACAAAACTTAATTAATAGCCTATGTATTCTTTTAGACTATGTTCTACATCTATGCCAAATTTCAATGAATTTCAATAAGAGATACGTTTAGCCATTTAGTAGATACTTATTAACAATAATCCATCTAAACTTCCGTATTTATAATATTAGTAAGAAGTTAGATTATAGTTCGTAAAAGCAGCGAATAATGTATCAAGTTAGTCACAGTTAGCGGTGTTGGTTTAACTAAACCAGGCGGGCTTACAATGCGGGAACCGGTAAAAGGTCAACACACCGTTGATATCGAAACTGAGTCACTGTACCAAGGCCTTTGGATTTCAGGCAACCACGTAGTGACAACAGACTGAGTGGGCGATGAAGCGTATGATCATTACACTGGCAATCTTATCTCGTTAGCCAAACAAGTTTTTTTTTAAAGTCGTTGGTGCAACTACTGTTACGTTTTTATATGAAAGCGGATTAAAAAAGTTGGAATACAAAAATTGTGTATTCTGTAACAAATAATGCGCCACGAACTAAAACACGGTCAGTCTGGTAGTTGAAGACCACAGTTGTGTGCTCAAAATTAAAAAAAAAGACAATCGCGAAAGACAAGCGAAGTCGATATTCTATTCTATGATATATTTTTAAGAAGCTTATTGAAAATTATTGCGTCCTATAGGTACTACAAGAGCTACTGGGAGCGTCGGTGGCTCGGTCGTCAAGCACTTGACTTGCAATCTGCAGGTCCTGGGTTCGAATCCCGCCATGTACCAATGTGTTTTTCGATTTCCGATTTACATATGTACATTTATCCGACGTTCTTACGGTGAAAGAAAACATCGTGATGCAACCTGCACATATCTTAGAAAAAATTCAAAGATATGTGTAAAGTCAACCAACCCGCACTTGGCTAGCGTGGTTGACTATGGCCTAATCACCCTTAACTTAGGGTAGACTCCGAGCCCCTCGGTGGGGACATACAGTAAGCTGATGATGATAGATACTACAAACTCATGATGTTTTTTATTCACATGGTGACGATCTTAAGAATACAATAATAAACCGTGAAGTCAAAGACGGAAGACATTACAGAATAATATAAAATTAAATAATTTAATAAATAAATAAATATTGCATATATTAATTCTTACATCGTGCTAAAAACATTTGTTGTAATTAAATAAAATCCATAACTAATTGTTGTTATTAAAATACAATTTCGTGATTCCGGATCGCAGCATTGAATGGAAAAATCTTTTATATTGACATATCAGATCTAAACTTTTCATGACTAGTTCTTGATCTTTATTGGTTTTGCATCTTAGCAGTTAATACCTTTATCAAATGTATTTATAGGTAGTTAGTGTTAGAACCCTTTTCCACCAGCATGATTAGGTGAGTGACTTCGTTTACGCGAATAGAAGTATAATGGAAAGGGGTCTTACGTCACATAGCGGTTGAATACATGTGATAGATATTCATAATGATTAACAAGGAAAGAAACTTGCATGTATATTATGTCGACATGTCTATGTTTTAATTAACCATAGTAAGAAACAATTAAAGCATGTATGAAGTGTTTGCATAATCTAATTAATGCACATACGATCTGTCGGTGTTGTAGATTACCGTGTTGATTATACTATAAAGCCGTTATTATGTGATTTACAAGGAAATAAAGAAAAAATGAAAACTACTTGGTATCTTCCGCTAATAATCATCGATGTAGTTTATTATAACTCGAAGATAAAATTTAATAAATGTTTCAGATATTAAATCAGAAAATCTGTTATTCCTTAGTAATTTAATTTAATAATTTTACAATACATTTACGGATAGGAAAATTAAAACAATGGTTTAGGTATTATATTTAAATCTATTTTTTTATATAAACTTAAACTGTTAGAAACCAGTTCGTTCATTGAGTTGCGAAATAAAAATATTGTTTATAATTTAAATAACCAACAGCCTTGAGAGTTTGTGAATTTATTATTTACATAATTGAAGATAAATAATGATATTTAATTTGCAATGATTTCTGATTTAATATTGTTTTCATCATTATTTAAAAACAAATTGTTTCGGTAATGTTTTTACAACTCAGTAATACTGGTATAACAAAATGGAATAAGTACACATTATTGACGCTTCTGATTGCCCTTCCTTTCTTTTCACCTTCATACCTGAGTTTGACCATACCGACAATTACTCCGAGCTATTTAAATTATTGAAGGCTCGTAATTCCAGAAAAGGATACTTTCATAACAACAATACTTTTGCTTTTATCCTTATCCTTTGTAAAACATTTATGTTATAACTTAATTATGTTTTAGTTAAGCAGAAGGGCTCATAATCAATAGCTTTAAGAATATTATAATATGATTATGTATGAATCATCAATTGCGATCGTAAGAATCTGCTTCGATAAATTTAATAATAGTAAAGTCCTGCGACTTTAGTAATCAGTTTTCCTTGTTAAAAAAATCATCTTAAATCATGGATAAACCTAATAATTTCGCTCGCGCGTTTTCCACTTATAAAATTTAGTATGCAAAATAAAATTATTCCTATGAAATGTCTTTAAAATAATAATAACTAAACGCTAATTTCATAATGTGTATGTGTAACACTTGTTAATTATTACTGTACTCCGTGTGGGATGGGATGTATTGCTAAAAAACTAATCCGGTCAGTCGATTGCTTGAAATAATTGTACCGGCTTTCATGGAGCTGTATGCATCCAGGCGAAAGGCAAAGGAAAGGCAATCCCTGTCTTTTTTTCGAGCTGTAGATGAGATGAGGAGTGAGGTCGTACAATAATGTAAACAAATATTTTTTTAAATCCAAAATCGAATCCAGAACAAATGATTTTTGTTTCAGGTGTACTATAATCGTTACAACAGCAGGTGTTATGGACAAAATATGAAGATATTTGTTTATTAAGTCTTTTCTCGTACTTGACATTTCCTTAAATGCGAATAGCCATATCAAAGGCATGATGTCGAACATTGAAATCTTTAGTTCAACGGCCTGTTCAAGGGAACTAGGAAGTAGGTAACGTAACAGAGCCGCAAAAACTTGAACCTTACAATGGCATGCCTGTGTACATGGACAAATGTTTATATTTATATAGTCATCGTCAGCTCGTTTATGAATAATAAACTCAATGGTTTTAACGACGAATAAAGACAACTTGTATGTTAGTACCCACTTCAAGGTTCTATGTTTTGTACGATGACGTCGGACAAATGCGATAACATCTACTAGTACTAACTAAAATGAAATACTAATTTTAGTCAAATTATCTTTTTATTGAAAGATGCAATCGAGGAGTATTTAACATGATGATGATTTAATTTTTTATGACACGTGTACTGATGTGTGTAGCTAGAGTTATATGAGATTCTTATATCGAAGATATGCGTTATTATGTGATTCTGTTGGGACTAAATATTAGGGAATAATAAGACATTACTTCAGATCTCTACCCTCATCGTAGTGTACTATAATAAAGTTTACGTGATGATATCGATACGAAACAATAGAAATCCATTTACGTAATAATCTTATCATTTGGATGTCGTAATATAGAACTATTCGAATATTAGAATGGACAATGGGCAGTAGAATCTTTTTATATGATCATTATATATTAATGCTAGACACTATAACAATTATCGTTTATGATATAAACAGGCGATATATAATATTTAGCAAGATACTGATGTGAAAAAGTGATTGTACTTGTGTTATTTATGACAGGTCGTTGAGTTATGCTAGTGTTGACTTTTGTAGAATCTGTCATCAATCTCAGAAGGCAGCAAACAAACAAATGTTTTGTGACTCGACTTTTAAATATTATATAATATATAAAACAATTTGGTCTACATGAAACTATAGTTACTTAGCTATTATAACAATTGAATATTTCAATCAGAAAATACATTAGAGATCACTGTACGACGACTAAACTATTTGAAATGCATAAGTATCGGACTGTAGTGATTGTTGTGGCGCTTGGGCGAACACTATGACGAAATCTTACTATTGTGAAAGAGGCGGAGGCGTGTTGGACATAAGGTTGACGCCGCCTTATATTGTTTAAACTAGGAACGTATGTTTAACAGACAATGTCGTGCTAAATTAAGCTAATTTACAATTCTAAATTTGTAGTCGTTCAATAGAATAATTTTGAAGTATACAGCAGCAAATAGTTGAGAGGCTCGAAATACTGGATCATGGTAGACGCGTCACAATTCATTGCTTTGGTTTCAACAGTGATGGACAGTGAACGTTTGTTACGTGTAAATAATAGGAATATTTATGCTATTATTTTCTTATAAATGATCTCAACGAATAAACAGCATAGAATTTAAAAACAAACGATGACAAAATGATAAGTAATTTTCGTAAC